TACGTGTTCCATAAACAATTCTTTTGTTGATGTTTTTTTCAGTTTGCTGTTTGCATTTGGCGAAGTCATAGGTAGTTTATTGCTTGCAATTCAATAATGCAAGTTCTGCTGAGTTTTTTTTTCTTTTTTCAGTTTGTTGTTTACATTTGGCGAAACCATAGATAGTTTTTTGTTTGCAATTCAATAATGCAAATTCTGGATTTTTTTCTCCAGTTTGTTGTTTGAATTTGGCGAAATCATATGTATTTTGTTGTTTGCAATTCAATAATACAAATTCTAATTATTAGTTTGCTATTTATAGTTCATTGAGTCATAGGCGTCGTATTTCACGGAGTCATAGGCGGCGGTGGATTTTTTAGAGTATGAGTTTGTAAATTAAATAGTATACTTTTTAGAAATTAATTTATTTTTTTCGTTAATAATTGGAAGAGAGGTGTTTGACAATTTGTTTTGATAGAGATATTTGGGAATTTGATTTGATTTGACTAAGGGTGTTTTTGCCACAATAAATACTATCAATTTATTAAAACATGGAAATTTTGACTTGGATCTATATGCATAAATTATAATATAGATGGACCTATAGCAAATTGTCCCTTTAAATAATAGGAGGTTCAACTTGGAAAACACAATTGCCAAAAGCAATAATCTTGTGTTCAGATTTAATTATTTTTTACGTCAATATCTTTATATATAAAAGAAAGGTTTTGCCACGAAACCCTAAAAACATTTTTTCTAAAAAATATTTGTGAAATATTTGTTTCCTTTATTTTCTCCTTTTTTATAGTACATTCAAACTTATTTATTTTTTCTTCCCTTTTTAATTTTTTCCTTATTTTGTTGAATTTCAAAATACATGTTAGTTTTATTTTTTATTGTTTTCTTTATTTTCTCATTTTTTATAGCGCACACAAACTTATTTGTTTCTTCTACCTTTTTTATACAACACTTTGTTTATTTTATTTAAATTATTTTCTTTTTCTTTTTTTTTTCTTCTTCTTTTCTTCCCTTCCAGCACTAACTTTTCTCTCCTTTTTTTATAGCATACATTTTTTAATGATTTTCTTTTTCTATTTTTCCCTCTTCTCCTTTTTTCCCTTGTCCACTAAACACGATCAACCTTGGATTTTTTTTTTCCTGTTTGTTTTTTTTTTTAATTATTTTTCTTCTTCTTCTTTTTTCCATTTCAGCACTAACTTTTCTCTTCTTTTTTTATAGCACACTCTTTTTTTATTATTTTTTTTTCTTTTTTTCTTCTTTTTTCCCCTTCCCCACTAAACACGATTCACTATGATTTGTTTTTTCATTTTCCACTAAACATGATCTTCAACTTCTTTTCTTAACTGCTCCACTTTCTGTACACATTTTTTTTTCAAACATTTCTCAATCTCAACCCCATAAAAATTTCCATATATATACATGATACCAAGAACACTAAGAACACAGAATACTATCGCTTTATATAGATTGTTGTTGTTGTTTTTGTTGTTGTTGTTGTTGTTGTTGTTGTTGTTGTTGTTGTTGTTGTTGTTGTTGTTGTTGTTGTTGTTGTTGTTGTTGTTGTTGTTGTTGTTGTTGTTGTTTGTTGTTGCTACTGCTGTTGTTGTTGTTGTTGTTGTTGTTGTTTGTTTTGTCCTATCTTTCATCACATCAATAATCTTCAGCCTAAGCAATTATATGTTTTTGTCTTTGTTAACAATCCAATTGTGTTACTTGTTCTTGTTTTCTTTACATTTTTTTTTTATAAATTGTTGTAATTATTTTCAAGCCTCCAATTTCTACTTTCTTTTGTATTCATTTTCTCAGTATATGTTTCTCCACAAAAGTTTGACCGAATATTATATTATTACGGTACAACTTTTTTAGGAATATTAACGACTTCACAATTTGTTTTTTGGCTATTAGGTAATTTCTCCGATCATGTAGTTATATTCTCAACAATGCCGACTTCCTTTGCTCATGTATCAATTATTATGGCGTTCATTCTATTTGTTTCATTAATCATGGTATTTTCCAATTTTATAAACTTTTTGTGTTCACTTTCTTCCATTTTTTAACTCTTTACATGTTACTTTTCAGGCTCGAAGTTCTGCCATTCGAGGTGGAGTTCAATGTCTACGACTCTTGCCGTTCTCCCCCCGCCACCTTCGCATATCAGGTTTTTGTGTTTTCACGATTACTCGATGTTTCACTATTTTTAATGTTCTGATTTTTAAATTTCTATAGTTCCACAATAGACAAAAAAATAGGGAGAGAGATGCGAGTCCGTGTGACACATTTTAGAAGAGATTTATGTTCCATCTTTTAAATAGTCTCTACAAATAAAAAGCAAAACTATGACCGTGATTTGTTCTCATTATTCACATGATTAAATTATATTATTTTTTAAATTAACTCATAAATAATAATAAATGCCTCTAAATAAATGTTATACAAAATATGTATATATACTATTTATTTAAAATATTTACCTATTTTTTTCCTCAAAAAATATTTAAATATCATGATTAGTAATTATTCAATGTTCAAAATGATGTTCTATTTCTATACCCTCAAATTCCCACAAAAAGAAAAATAATAAATCTACAAGGGTATTGTTGGAATATTGTGAAATATTGTAACATTCCCTATAATGCACACACCCTCTCATATAGAGTGAGACAACCATTTCGTGATTTAATTTCTTCCTTTTGCTTCCTTTGTGTGGGTTACTTGTACATGCTCATCAAGAGTATGGATTTTTTTTTTTTTTTTTGAGATTTCACGAGTATTAAATTGAGTTTGTTTCCTTTTCTATTGACTAAAATTAACATAATTATTCATGTTATTAAAGAAAAAGAACGGAGGATCTCTGCTTTGAAAACACAATCCCACAACATGTCTAACCAAAGGAGGCTGTGCATGTTGCCTCCGTTGCTCTGCCGAAGGAGATGTTGGCGGAGATGATTATGGATTGTCGGCGGAGAGCTTTTCTGGCTACGGAGGCACTAACAAAAGAAATAAACACGTGTTATATAGCAAAAAAAAAAAGAGAGGGCGGCCGAGTAAACAACCGCTTACGGATCGGAGATGTCACAACTGTGCCGGAATATTTCATCACTCCACCTAAGTGAGGAAAAGGCCCGACCTTGGGGTTCGGCAAGTGGCAGAGGTTGGCTGCCTCTTGCGGTAAGTTTCTTTGATTTCTAATTTGGTTATTAATGCGACAAAAACGAATCAGACTGAACGATCCAACCAGTTTAACCGCAAAGCCGCCACCGATAGAAGTTATTGACAAATTATGTTTTAGGTGGTTAGGGGAATTTTATTGTAATAATAAATTTGTTATTTAAAGGAATGTATATAATAAAATTACATTCTTAGTTGGATTTTTTTGGATATATTTTTAGTTTTGTTATATGTTTATAATTTCGATGATATTTCTAGAATATGTACATTGCAAAATTTGATTTTATTCCTTTTAAGTTTAAATTTTATTCTTAATGATTAATACATTCAATTTGAATCTAATACTTAATGGTAAATGTATTATATATTTAAAAACAATCATTTTTTAGACGCCACATTTGTGCAATTCAAGTGTATATATATATATATATATATATATATATATATATATATATATATATATATATATATATATATATATATATAATAATAATAATAATAATAATAATAATAATAATAATAATAATAATAATAATAATAATAATAATAATAATAATATTTTAAATTAATTTCCTTTATTTCTGATCGAAATGTGTTTCAAGTCACTAATTTTGTTAAAATAATTTATGTCAACGAAAAAAAATAAGTAAAAACAAAGAGGGCAAGTTTTCTTATTCGAGAAAAAAACAAATTAAATTTAAAAATTTTAAGATATTTATGACCCATTAAAAGGGCCAAAACACAAAGTATTCTCAAATTTATTAATTTGTTGTCACTATGAATGATGGAATTATTGGGGAAACGGAAAGAAGAAATTCACTCTTCAGACCATTGAAATTCAACAAGGAGAGGATAGAGCTATTTTTTTTCCAAAATTTAAATTAATAAATTTGAAATAAAACTTAAACAACTGTAGTTGATAAGAAATTAACTATGTTTACCATGTCATTTTCCCTATAACGTACCACAATGTGTTGGTATTCAATTCCTCATTTCATATATAGTTCGTGAGAATCCAGCTCAGGATCGATGATGATTTGTAATATCCAACTTGGACCATTATTTTTTTTCTCCATATATTACAATCATATCGATAAAAATCCAATTCACAATGTTTTTTAGACAAATGGAATTTTTAACTCGGAAAAAAGCAATCGACAAAAATCATTAATCTCGCATTTAGGACTTAATTCTTTTTTCCTTCAATATAATGATATACTAAGAGAGAAATGAATATACAAAGTGAAAAGGAAAAATAAAAAAGAAAAAGAAAAAAAAGGAAAACTACGATAATGATTTTTTCTCAATATTTTTGGGCAAAAATTAATAAATAATGTATACCTCTAAATAAATGTTTATACAATATATGTACGTGATTTTTTTTTTATTTTTTATTTAAAATAGTTGTTTTTTCCTTTCTTGAAATATCAAAATATAAATATTCTGATTAGTTAGTAAATATTCCATGTTCGAAATGATGTTCTATACTCTCAAATTCCCCAAAAAATAAAATAAAATCTAAAAGGGTATTGTTGGAATATTGTGAAATATTATAGCATTGTTTCCCTATAAAACACACTCACATAGAGAACGAGACAACCATTTCTTAATTTCATTTCTCCCCTTTGCCTTTTCTATATAGGGTAGATCTTTCGGTCGATGTTGTATATATAATAATTATATAGAAGAACGTTTGAAGACACATCGGTATGTGTATTTGTGTGGGTTATTTGTGCATCTTCGGTTACTGTTTATTAAATCATGAGTTTTGTTGCCATTTCTATTGATTAAATTAACAAAAGATTGTTTCATGTTTTAATTAAGACTAGAAAATGGAGGGTTTCTGCATTGAAAACACCATCCCGCAACATATCGAGCCTGCAGCTGTGGATGTGGATGCTGCCGTCGTTGCTCCACCGGAGGAGAAGTTGGAGAATGTCAGCGGAGATGATCATGGATTGGCGGCGGAGAGATTTTCCGACAGCTGCAGCGGCACAAGTAATAAACATGCCGTCTGTAGCAAGAGAAAGAGAGGGCGCCCGATGAAACAACCGCCGATGGAGATGCCACAACAATCTGTGGCGATGCCGGAATATTTCATCATTCCACCTACGCGGGGAAGAGGCCGGCCTAGGGGTTCCGGGAGGTGGCAGAGGATGGCTGCCTCTTTCGGTAAGTTTTTTTTTTTTATCTTTAATTTGGTTATTAATGTCTGAAGCAATGTTATTGAAAACGAATCGGACTGGTCGATCTGACCTGTTTAATAGCGAATCGGCACATGAATGAGATATTGAAAAATTAGGGTTTGGGTGGTTTGGGAAATTTTTGTATACTTATTATTGATTTTTAATTTGGTTATTAATTTGTTAAGAAATGTTGTTAAAAATTAAACGAATCGAACTTGTTGACCCGGCCTATTTAATAGCGAATCGACTACGGATACAAGTTATTGTCAAATTAGGGGCTGAGAAATTTTCTTGTACTTATTATCAATTTTTAATTTGGTTATTAATGTGTTAAGAAATATTGTTAAAAATTAAACGAATCGGACCGATCGATCCGACCTATTTAACAAAAAATCGGCTGCTGCGAATTATTGACAAATTAGGGTTTTGGTGGTTGCGAAAATTTCTTGTACTAATTATATTGATTTATCGAACTTTAATTAATAATCATAAATTTGTTAATTAAAGGTACGTAAAGCAATGAATGAAATTAAAAACATTTTTTTTTGTTGGAAACATTTGCATATATTTTGTAAATTATTTGTATATTTACTATTTCAATGTAATTTCTAGAATATACTTTTATTATTGTATATTAAAAATTTAAAATATTCCTTTTAGGCACCACATTTGTGCAATTCAAGTGCATCGAATGCTCTCATTATGCGCAACACACATGTATTTAATTTGTGAAATAAATTTTCCTTATTTATGTTCAGAATCTATTTCTAGTTATGTCAAAAGGAAAAAAAAATCAAGAAAAAACATAAAAGGAACAAAACAAAAAGTATTCTTAAATTTACTTCATTTATTGTCATTATGAAGGTGGGATTGTTGCGCAGACTGAAGGAAGCAACTTCACTCCTCATAGGATTGAAATTCAGAAAGGAGAGGTAACCGTACCAATTATTATATTGTCTTAAATTATCGATAAATTGGATATATATTCAACAAGAATCACATCTGACAATAAGTAATTAATGGTACATTTTTTGTTGTCTGTGCAGAACATAGTTCAAAGGATCAAGTCATTTTCTATGACGACTCCTGATTCAATTTGCATTGTCTCGGCTTTCGGAACAGTCTCAACTGCAGAAATTTTTGTACCTGCTTCTCCAGGTGGCATTTCACGATACGAGGTATGAATCTCTATAATTTATTTTATATTCCTACTTATAATTGTTCGGTATGTAGTAAGCTAGACCTATATAAAATTGTTTATTAATTCATTTGAAACAATGCATGATAATTTATGTTTCTTTCTTTCTACACGTTATGCGGCACAACATTTGTTATCATCAACAGACTAGCGTGTTTTCAGTTTGATCTAATTTGACCAGTGTATGATTGATATGAAAACTAGAATGTTACCGTATGTTTATGTAAAAGAATGTAGTTTATCATATATATGTAATTCTTGTATGACTCAATAATTATTTTCCTCAAGCAGGGCAATTTTTCAATTGTACATCTAAATGGATCGCATACATATAATGGAACTAGGCATGCCAAAAGATGTATATTGAGTGTTCAATTGGCTAACCCTGAAGGCCTCTTTTATGGTGGTGTTGTAGCCAATTCGCTTATTGCTGCTGGCCCAACTCAAGTAAGCTCTAAACATATTTTCGAAGGCAGAAATATATTATATCTATATATATATTATAATCAGTGGCGGGGGTCATAATTTTATAAAATGTTGGGCTAATTCTAAAAATAAACGGAGTTAAGAGGCAACGCACCTTATTTTTTTAGGATTATTAATATAAAACTGGGGGATGGGGGTTAGATATGTATAGATAATTTATCTTGAACTTTTAAGTAGATGGGTTAAATGATATAAGTTGTGTGGGAAAAATAAATAAATGTGTTATTATATATATTGTAAAAAAAAATTGTATGTACTAAATCCACTACACATGTGTGTGCTCACGTGAAGTGCACACATATGGTGCATAACTATCACTAATGCCTCGCTCTTTCCATTTAGTCATAATTATGTTTTTATTTGGACATAACAGCACTTTGTAGTATTCATGTGTCGATTGGGGAAAATTTCAAAAGTTTTTGTGTCATCTCATAGCGTATTCTACTATAATATACAGTAGTCGATTGACTTCGGCATTTAAACCTATTGATCATCAACAAATTTATGCATGCATGATTAAATTTGTAGTCTATTTTTATTTTATTTTAATTTCCTCTAGTTTGAGATTTGTTCACAAGTAAATAATTACGATATTTTGTCAATTTCCAGCTTATCATCGCTTTACATATAAATAATGACATATTTTTATTGCTTTCCAGCTTGTTATTGCTACGTTCAAACAAAATCCATGGCAGTTGAGTACGTTTTCTTGAATCTCCCCCGGTTGTTGAGGAATATTCATCGACATCTGCATCGGGACGTGTAATCTCTGATGGTGATGTAGGATTTTTAGTGAACCAATGAAAAACTTGGCTAAAACATCTTATTTTTGTCAAATACTTTACAAGTATGTTGGTAGAAATATCAAGGTTTTAGTATGTTTGGTTATTTAAGAGGCTAGACGACACATTATTATATGTTTATTTATTAGAATAATTTTAGATTTCTTATGATGTTCCAGCATTTGAAATTTAATGCTAGGAGAATTGAGATTGTTTTAGTTTAAACTCCATTTTTATGTCCGATATATACATTGTGATAACAAATTTTTCTCATGATTTCATCATTATAACTAATCATATACATAATTTAACTTATATTTGTAGTAATATTTTTAAATAATTACAAACACACTTAACACGCACATTGTGCACACCTAATACAAATATAAATGTACAAATTGCACACTCATAATATGCAGATAGAGATATCACAAGATAAAGGTCGATCCTAAAAATAGACTCAACTTATCCCAAAAGCCACGTAAAATAGATTTTCTATATTTATTTATTAGAATACATTAAACTTAATCCCACCCTACATCCTTAAAATATTGCATTTTGGCACCTTGCACCCTCGAAAGATAATTAATAGCAATATGCATCCTTGAAACATAAATAAATCATTTACAATGCACTCTTAATTGAAATATTAAATTTTATTTAAGGAAATTTTTTTTTATTGTTTTTTTTTTCTTCAGGATGCAAAGTAAAAAAGTTAAATTGGTATTTTCTACTAACCTCCAATCTAATTTCGATCTTACAAAGTGGGCAAAAAAATCACATGGAGTTACTTAAAAAACTATATTTTTTCACAACAAAAATACATAAACATATTTGATTATTGGATATTTTATTGTAATTGGTGAAAATATTTGTAAGAAAATATAACTTTCAAATAACTTGATAAAAAAATAGATATAGGTACTTTTATCCTTTTTTAAAAAATATTTTTTTTGTGATAAACAATATAACTTTTAAATATTTTGATGAGATGTATTTTTAGTGTTGCACTTTTTGGTTTCTAAAGCACTGATAAATATAAAAAAATTAACTTGATACTTGGCTTGCTAAAAAAATTCCAATAAAAATATCAAAGAGGTTTTTATGTATAAGTTCCCACCAACTATTTTTATTATTCTAGGTTCTGGGGTTATATCTCTTTCTTTAATAAGCCTTTCCCTTTAATATCTATTATAACTAAAGGCAAAATTTATGTATATGACAAAATCACTCCCAACCATTTAAACCAAATTCCTAATTGTAATCCCAAATTAACTTCAATTTCATCAATTTTAACCACAAAAATCTAATTTTGACTTTTTTAAAACTTTTTTTATTAGTATTTTTTACACCCGACGCTAAACTTTAACCGTAATTGTACTGTCATTGACAGTAAATTCTACTGTCGCTGATAGTAATTGTAGTTTCGTTGACATTACAACTACTGTAAACATAATAATATTACTCTCAACCACATCAATATTATTATTTTTTTTTCCTTTTTTATTTTGTTTGATTTGTTGACTAGTCAACGTAATAATATTATTGTCGTTGACGGTAAAATTATGTAAACACAATAATATTACTCTCAACCACATCAATATTATTTATTTTTTTGCCAGTTTATTTTGTTTGATTTGTTGACCGATTAACGTAATAATATTAATAACTACTATTGTAATATTACTTTAAACATAATATTATTACAGTTGTTGACTGTAATATTACTGTCGTTACAGTAATATTACTGTGGTTGAACAGTTGTCTTACTGTCAACCACATCAATAGTAATATTAATTCTTTGGGTTTTTCTTTGTTGAACGGTCAACATATTAATATAATTCTATTACACAGTAATAGTGATTTTTGTTATGTTCAAATTATTGTGCTACAAAGTAAATTAGCAATACTACTGTGTTAAACAGTAATATAGTTAATATGGCTGTCAACCACAATAATATTATTGTTTAAACGAGCCAAAAAATGTTGAAGAAAAAATTCAAAAAAATTCATAATAATAATAATAAAAAAAAGTCAACGTCGCCGGAGACTAGCATTGACCGACCGTCAGCGGCGGTAGAAAAGGAAAAAGAAAAAGAAAAAAAATAAAAAGTCAATGCTGGAACCAGCGGAAAAATCAAACAAAAAAAATCAATGCCGGACACCGGCAATATTCAACGGCGGCAACGGACGAAATTGTAGTCAAACTTGGGCTAGGGGTCAAGATTTAATAATTGGTAAAATTTGGGGTCAAATTGATGTTAAATTGAATAAAATGATGAAATTGAAGCATATTAAAATGTGAGGGGGCAATTTAGTCTTTTACACACCTCTTGAAATTGTATGGAATTTTATGTAAAACAGTTTTTTGTCTGGACCGCTTCATTAATAAGTAGCCCATGAGGGCTTATTTGTGATAGACCCAATATTAAATTACCTTCACTAGTGCCTTTTTTTGTTACTTGATGTGCATATTTGTTAAGTGTATATTTTTACACTTAATCGTACCTTTTAATTGGAGCTTTTAGTGTGTTTTAACGATAAGTGGTGCTTAAAATGTTGATTATTTGTATTGTAGGTACAAATTGAAGAACTGGAAACTTATGGGGTAAAAACTGCAATTTCGGAGAAAAAGTGGGCCAAAAGTAAAAAAATCAAAACTTCGAAGAATTGAAGCCCGGACGGCCGTCCGAGTTTCAACATTAATTTTGACACGGCCGTCCGAGATCACGAGGAGGCGCAGTGAAGGAAGTTTAATTACACAAGGAAACCGCCTTCCTATCTTTTTACACCCTATATAAGGCCAAGCCAAGCACACAATTGGGGCCCTTATCTTTTTACACGCAATCTAGGAGCAAGAGAACGGAGCAACGAAGACAAAGACTTGATGAATCTTCATCATAGTTCTCCCTTTACTTTTATTCACAACTTTTATGATATCGTATTTTTATTATGATTTTCGTAGAGAACATGAGTAGCTAAGTTTTTAATCTAGGATTTTGTTGGAACCCTATGTGGTGATTCGAACCTATTTTCTAATATTATGCAAGTTTAAATTCCTTGAGTATTTCTTCTATTTGATCTTATTTAGCGCATGAACGTAGCTAATTTATGTTGCTATATGTTATTGTTAGAATTGAATCGACAGATCGTTTTAATAATTAGAACAATGATAGGGGAGCCTTCGAGTAGTTTTCACCAGATGAGTGTGTTAATTGCATGTATTATCGTAGACATATAGATAATACCTTAGGTAGCCGTTTACGAGACTTGTTAGTTAATGCTTTATTCATAATTGGTTTGCATAGACATATAGTGAATCATTTATGAATAATAGACTCATAATACAAGCGACAGCGGGTTATGAGTAACTTAGTGTCTTGGGTTAATAATCGGGAATCGTAACTTGCATGATAGAGGTTTAATTGGGTGATGAATTATCGCATAGGGGGAAGATAAAATCCTAGATCCGTTTTTACATTGATATTTTCTCGTGTTTATTTGCTTTCTTAATTAGTTTAATTGTTTAATTGATTAAATTTGACAACTTTGCGTAGGCTGGATAAAAATCATAATTGTTAGAATATGGTACTTAGAATTAGATAATTTGAGTATTCCCTGTGGATCGACATCCGACTCTCACGAGTCCACTTTTACTACTTATTTGCGATACGTGCACTTGCGTGTTAGGTATTTAGCTCCAACAAGTTTTTGGCGCCGTTGCCGGGGAATACGGCTAAATTATTTATTTATCCTAATATTAAATTTGAGCAATTTTTCTTACTTCAGCCGTTTTATTTATTTTATTTAACTATTTATTTGCTTATTTTATTTTTATTATTTTTGTTTTAGGTACTTTTTATGTGAAGAGGACACGACACGAATTTGCTACCTCTTGATCCCGAAATTGAGCGAACGTTTAGGCACGCCAGGAGAAATCAACGGTTAGCTCGAAACATTCCCGCAACAATGGAAGAAGAGATTAATCGTAGGGTAGATGACCAAGGGCGCCTACCGAATGCGGCAGGAAATATCGTCAACGAGCAAGAGCAACTTCAGCTAATTAATCCACCACCTCGTCAACGTGCATTGCATGAGTACACCGTTCCAACACTCAATGGGTTTCAATCAAGCATCCAGCAGCCCCCCATTGAAGCCAACAATTTTGAAATTCGAGCGGGACTCCTTACTATGCTCCAAAACAATGAGTTATTCAGCGGATTAGCTCATGAAGATCCACATCTCCACTTGGTCAACTTTCTCGAAACGTGTGATTCGCATAAGATGAACGGAGTATCACCTGAAGCACTACAACTCCGCCTGTTCAAGCACTCTTTACAAGGAGCAGCCCGAGAATGGTTACCAACTCGTGCACCGTACTCCATCTTGTCTTGGCCCCAGCTAGCACAACTCTTCATGAACACATACAACTCCCCAACAAAAACTGAAAGAATCCGGAGAGAAATACATAATTTCATACAAGAAGCCGGTGAAGCGTTATTCGAGACGTGGGAGCGGTTCAAACAATTAATTCGGAGATGCCCTAATCACGGAATTCAAGAGTGGCGCCAGCTGCAAATATTCTACAATGGGTTGCAAGATAACTCGAGGACTGTGCTCGACTCTGCAGCTGGAGGAATGTTCATGAGTTTGACCTACGACGAAGCATACGAACTTTTGGAGCGAATCGCTAGAAATAAATACATGCGGGCATCGGATCGGTCAAATAGCGGAGCCGTTAAAATAGGAGGAATTTTAGAGTTAGACGGGGTCACCGCTATCACGGCCCAGTTAGAGAAGCTATCAAAGCAAGTAGCGGCTTTGCAGACTCAGCAAGTCCATGCAATCCAAGGTCCCAACCAGTGCGTAGAAGAAACGGAGTCTCTAAATTATGTGAATGACACCAACCGACAACAGAGGAACCCGTACTC